GTGGCATCATTGATGGCGTCAAGTGTGGCAGCGGTAGTGAGGTTGGCCCAGGATCGGGCATTGTTTTGTTCTGCTGTGCATGGGGTCACTATGAGTTGGTTCCGACTCGATGGCACCTGATAACAACAACAATGCACTGGACCGCAAGGTTGGTTTGAACTGCAAGGTCGGCAGTTTGAACTCACCAACCACTCCTCGAAAACCCTAGAAAGGGTTTCTATGGATTGGAACTGACTGAACTGCACGAAACACAACTGCACTAAAGAGCCTTGGTGATGCTGTAGGGTGCTAACTGCGAGGTCTGCTCAAACCCACCAGCCACCGGGGGAGAAAGACGAGACTTCTTGTTCCCATATAGATTTACAGCCTCTGAAACTCTATACCTATATGAGTTGGAATCAGCTTAAAGCCAGTGGGTGTCAGGTTTTTTTTGGTTTTTTTTTATATTGCACTGGGAGCTTTGGTGGCACAGTGAGCTAAGTGTTGGACTGCTATGCTAAGGGAAAGGTCGGTAGTTCAAACCCAGCAGTTGTTCCGAGGGAGAAATAGGATTTGCAGTGTCAAAATCTTATGGAGCCGTTGTACTCTGTCCTGTTGTTGTTAAGTGCTGTCAAGTGGGTTCCAACTCATAGCGACCCTGTAGAGGGCATCCAAGGAGCGACTGGTGAGTATGAACCGCCGACCTTTCCATTCAAAGTGACCCTGTGGTCCAATGCTTATCCTACAGCGCCCCACCAGGACCCCTCTGTCCTATAGGTTAGTTATAAGGGACTGGTCCATATCCAAAGTCTTGTCCTAATATCTAAGGGGCATTCTGGTTGTACTTTTTCCTAGACATTTGTACTTCCAGAAGTCCATAGCACTTTCAATATTCTTCACCAACACCCTAATTCAAATGCATCAAGTTTTCTCTGAGCTTCCTTATTCACTGTGCAGCCTTCACATGCATATGAGGTGACTGAAAATACCATGGCTTGAGTCAGGTGCACTGTCATGAATTGAATAGCGTCCCCTCAAATTAATATGTCCGCTTGGCAGGTGCATGGTTCCCAGGGTGTTGGCAGTAATGTCATGATATTATGTTGCAATCATGTGATGATCTCCCATAATGTGATGTGCTATGATAAACCAGTAAGAAGGTTAATGGCAGGATATGCCTGACCCAGTCCTGATGTGAGGGGAATTTCCCTGGGGTGTGGCCTACAACACCTTTACTTACAAGTGATAAAAGGAGGGAAAAGTGAGCAGCCATGGGATGTGACCTATTATCACCAAGAAAAAAGCACCATGTGTGGAGTGCATCCTTTAGACCCGGGCTCCCTGCATTGGGAAGCTCCTAGCAATGCTGAGTCTACAGAGGCTGAAGGAGACAAGAACCTTTCCCGAGAGTGCGCTCTAAATTCAGACGTCTAGCCTCCTCAACTGTGAGTGTGGCACTGTGGGATAAAGCACTGGACCGCAAGGTCAGCGATTCAAACTCACCAGCCGTTCCCTGGAAACTCTATACAGGGTCACTGTGAGTCAGAACTGACTCCTCAGTACTTAACAATGAAACCAACCGAGAGAATAAATTTGTTTGTAAAAGCCATCCACTTGTGGTATTTCTGTTACAGCAGTGCTAAAGAGCTAAGACTGTGTTTACTTAGTCCTCAAAGTGACATCTTAATTCTTTAACACCTTAAAGAGATCTTCTGCAGTAGATTTATCCAATGCAGTAAGTTTCATCTCTTGACTGCTGCTTCCATGAACACTGATTGTGGGTCCAAGTCAAATGAAATCCTTGACAACTTCAATCAGCTCTCCAATTAACATGATGTCGTTTATTGGTCCAGTTGTGAGGATTTTTGTTGTATTTACATCGAATTATAATTGTAATCCATCCACATTGAAGGATTTGGTCTTCATCAGTGTTTCAAGTCCTTTTCTCTTTCAGCAAGCAAGGTTGTGGCATCTGCTTATCACAGGTTGTTAATGAGCCTGATGCCATGTTCTTCTTCATATAATCCAGCTTCTCAAATTATATACTCAGCATACAGATTGAATAAGTATGGTGAAAAGATCAACCCTAACATACACCTCTCCTGATTTTAAACCATTCTGTATGCCTGTGTTCTTTCTGTTTGAATGACTACCTCTTCATTTATGTCAATTAAGTGTTCTGAAATTCCCAGAACATTTGCCACAGTGTTAACCATTGTTTGTTATGATGCAAATTCCTTTGCATAGTCAATAAAACACAAGTAAACATCTTTAATCAATGTTGGGTGATTTCCATATTCTGCTAGGTCACTTTTCTTTGAATGGACACAATGATGTCCTCTTCTGAATCCAGCTTGAATTTCTGGCAGCTCCCCGTCAATGTGCTGCTACAGCACTTAAAAATTACCTTTATCGAAATTTTACTTACACGCAATGTTAATTATATATTGATTAGTACTTTACACATTCTGTTAGGTTGCCTTTCTTTGCAATGGGTATAAATATGGATCTCTTCAAGGTTGGTTGGCCGAGTACTGTCTTCCAAACTTCTTGGCTTAGAGTAGTGAGTGCTTCCAGCACTGCATCAGTTTGTTGAAACATTTCAATTGCTATTCCATCAATTCCTGGAGCCTTGCTTTTCACTAATGCCTTCAGTGCAGCTTGGACTTCTCCCTTCAGCTTCACTGTACTGTATTAATTCAGATAGATATCCACCATGTCCCATCCTGAAGGCTGAAAGAACCTGGAAGCCAAAGGGTTGACTAAGTGTTGGACTGTTCTGCCAACTGCCCAGGCAGCCTGGAGTCCCCACAGCAACACTAGCCAGGCCTGAGGCAGCAAGCAGGGTATGTGCCAGAGGGCACTCCTCTACCACAGCCGCAGGAAGCCTGTCTGGAGTGTGTGGAGGACAGAGAGGGCAGGATGCTCGATGACCATCGGTGTGAGGCATGCGCCCATGCATTCCATCAGTACGGGCAGGCAACTCAGGCACATGGATAGACGCAGCGGGTAAGAGGAGGCACACCACTACCACCACCACCACTGGTTGCCATGAAGCTGATTCCAACTCATGGCCACCACAGGTGTGTCAAAGTAGAACTGGACTCTATTTGATTTTCAGTGGCTGTTTTTTCTGAAAGATAGCCAGGTCTTTCTCCTGAGGCACCGCTGGGTGAACTCTAACCTCCAATCTTTTGGGGAGCAGTTGGGCGCATTAACCATTTACACCACTCAGGGACTCCAAGAGGCTATGTACCGATGACTCCTACACATCTGCCTGCCTTCCTGGTGTGTCCTTTGTTGGGACAACCCTTTAGCCCTTCCTTTCTTCACTTCTCTAGAACAGAGGTTCTTAATGAACCGAGTCCATTCCAAAGACTCACTGAGAGAGCCTGTTAAAACTGTTTCTCTGGCCCCAACCCCTCAGATTCAGGTTCATAGGTCAGGTGTTGCTGCCGTGTGCTGTGTGCCGTCGAGTTTGTTCCTACTCAAACCCTGTATAGGGTTTTTCCAAGGCTGTTCATCTTTACAAATCAGAAAGCCTTCTCTTTCTCCCAGAGTAGCTGGTGGATTTGAACTGCTGATCTGTGATTAGCAGCCCAACACATAATCCACTACACCCACAGGGCTTCTTGTAGGCCAGTTATTATTAAGTGCCATGGAGTCGGTTTTCATAGCAATTCATAGGATCCTGGACAGGGTTTCTGAGGAACAGCAAGTAGGTTTAAGCCGCTGACCTGATGGTTAACAGTCCAGTGCTTATCCTACAGTGCCATACCAGGAGTCCTGTAGGCCAGGTAGAAGCCATGAATTTGTATTTTTAGGTCCACAGGTGCTGCTGAAGCTGCTGGCCCAAGGACAGCACCTCTAGGGACATCCATGAGAGCAGTATCGCTAGCTGAACTTTCTCAATGATGGAAGTGCTCTCTACCTGCTGCAGCCAGTAGGTGCCTAACGGGACAGCACAGCTCCAAAAGGGGTGGCCCGCAGTCTCCTCCCCTCCCACACACCTCCCTCACGCTCAATGACTACTGTGCCTCACACTGAATCTGAGAAACAGAAGCCATCACATGGGACTTCTCAATCTGTAAACCTTCCTACACCTGATGTCACTCTTCACCCCACCTGGACCTAAATCTGCCTCTCCCACAGCACAGTGGCACCAGCTGGAGCCTCTGTGGCCTCATGTAGCCCGGACCAGGCTCCCATGCCCACTCAGTCTCCATTCACTGCTGCTCAGACTCTCCCTCTGTCAGCTCCTCTAAGGCACATTACATTCTCCCCCTCCAGGTACAATGCTGCCTTCCCTAGAGACTGTGTTCATTCTCAGGGCTTTCAATATATCGGAACATCAGCAACCTCCAAAGCCCCATCTCCAGCCCTGCCCTCTCTTGGGTGCTCCAGACCTGTGTTTCTAGATGCCCACCTGACAGCACCCATTAGGGGTCCCCAGTACATGTTCCTCCTGCTGGCTTTCCCATCTCCAGTAACAACACCTCTGCCCAGCCTACTCTTCACCAAAGTATTTCTCCAAGGAGCCAAATCCAGACACCCCTCTGCACCTTTGATGCCTGATCCTAATTATCACCGCCCCTCACCTGGACTATTGAAGTAGACTTGTAACTTACCTGCTCGCCTCCATTCTCTTCTGCTTCCCCTTCAGTTTCCATACAGCACCGAGTGCCTTGTGTGTATGTGTTCAGTGTAACTGGGTTCCTATCTGTGGGATACTATGCCGTCTTGTCTCCCCTTCTGGAAAATACTCTTTCTCCAGCTCTCAGTTGCTTCCCTCAGCCACCAGCACCAACCCCGAGATGACACCTGACCAGAGTCAGCCAACCAGATCTTTACCCCAAGCTGTTTTACTCTGTCCATGGAGAGCACGTTCTCATCCTTCTCTGATGACAAAGCTGGTTGGTGTGACTCAAGAAGCCTTCCAGTAAGTTGCCCTTTTTTGATTAATTTAGTTTGAATTAGGGTTTTATCATTTACAACAAAAGAGTCACACCCTCCCTTACATTCTTCCAGTGACTTCCACAGGAGCAAGACTGTGTTCATGTCATTCACCTCTGTATCCTACTACAGAGTAGGCATTCAGAAAGGAACTGTTGAATAAATGAATGAATGACTATCTCTAACAGGGAGTCCTGGTATGGCTCTGTAGGATAAAGCACTGGGCCGCAACTTTGAACTGCAAGGATAGCGATTCAAACTTACCAGAAACCCTATACAGGTCTGACTCCAAGATACTTAACAACAACATCTCTAACAGTCTCCCTTGTTCTCCCATCACCTCCAGAGCCTTCCTTCTGCATACATCTTTTCCCATCTTATTGCAATGACAGCCTTCAAAACCAGAGCCAGAGTGTTGGTTCTTTGAGACCAAATTCAATTCAAAATACCAGTACACCAAACTGAGACAGAGGGACTGTGCTAAATGCCAGGAGCAAAACTATGGTTCATATGCCAAGACTGAGCAGGAAACTTGGCACACGGTGGTGCATAATGTGTGTTGGTGGAATGGACAAATGAATTTGCAGTTTACAAAATACTTTCTCACCATCAACTCAGTTGCTCCTCATCCCAGTAAGCAGGGCAGGATTGCCATCTCCATCTTATAGAAGACACCTGCCACGACCATGCATCTACTGATGGTTAATCCTTCCAGCACTTTGACCACTTGCCAGGAGCTAGCGACACTCCTTAGGAGGATGGTGCCATTTATCATCCCAGTTTGCAGATAAGGACACTGAGACACAGAGGTGGTAAGAGATCCCAGCCCTGCCCACTGGAGATGACAGGCCAGCAAGGGCAGAGCCAGAGTCCAGTTCTCTTAATCACTATGCTACACAGTCCTGGTGTCATGCTGTGGGTTAATGCGCCAGACCAAGTTGTTTGAACTGCAAGGTCAGCGGTTCAAGCTTACCAGCCGCTCCTTGGAAACCCTATACAGGGTTGCTATGGGTCGGGATCTACTCAACAGCACTTAACAACAACAACAACACTACCTCTTACTTAGTAGAGGAGCAGGGCAGAAGCCAGGGCCTCCCACGCTCAGTGTACTCTTCCATGTTGTTGTTAAGTGCCATAGCAACCCTGTACAGGGTTTCCAAGGAGCAGCTGGTGAGCTTGAACCGCCGACTCTGCAGTTCAAAAGACTTTGCAATCTGACACATTAGCCCACAGTGCCACACCAGGGCTCCCTCAAGAAGGTGACATTCTGGTGGAAATTTTTTAAGTCATCATTGAGTCAATTCCAACTCCTGATGAATCCAGGTATTTTCATGAATGACCTTTTAGAACCAATAACCTTTCTTCTGCGGTACCTCTGGGTGGGTTTAAACCACCAACTTTTGGCTAATAGGCCAACACCGGACTGTTGGCATCACCCAGGGGCACCCTAGTAAAAAATATAAAGCAACAAATCACAGATGGATGATTTCCTACGGAGATAAGTACTAGGAAGAAAATACTCCAAACTAAGGGAGTCCAGGTGTGGCTCTAGAATAAGCACTGAACTGCTAACCACACAAAGCTGTCAGTTCAAACCCACCAGCCACTCCTGAGAAACCCTATCTAGGTTCTCTATGAATTGGAACCAACTTGACTGCACTTTACAAGGGAAGTGGGCAGGGCTGTTTTAGATGAGAAAATCTGGAAAGGAGGTGACATCGGAGCTGAGACCTGAGTGGTAAGCAGGAAATATCCACATAAAGATCTAATGGAGATTGCAATGAAACCAAGTATATGATTTGTTGAATGTAAAACTGATCTGCTCTGTAAAACCTTCACTCAATTCACTATTTAAAAAAAAAAAAATCTAATGGACAGCATTTCAGACAGCAAAAACAGCCTATGAGATGGGGGTAAACCACCCATTTGGAAGCAAAAAAGGAGTTCTGTTTGGTGGAGTGTGGAAAGACGGGATGATGATCCTGGTAGGTGAGGTCAGCCGCAGGAGGCCCCTTTTGGATCTTGATTCTAGCTACAGAGGAAAGTGATTGTAGGGTTTTCAAGACAGGAGTGATAAGATCTGATTATTTCCATTTCTAAACTTCCCTCTGGCAGCCTTGGAAGAGCAGTCATCTGTGTGGGCAGACACTGGGAAGGAGCTGAGGGAAACGCCCACATACTCATGGAGTATCTGCTGTGTGCCTCCCCCTGTGCTGGCACTGGGAACACTGGAGTGAGGGGTAGAGGGATGAAAAGAATTAGCCTGTGGTGAAAGAGGCACAGGTTTGCTAGAAACCTGAATGAGAGCAGGTGAGGAAAGAGGGCCTCCTGGACGAGATAACGCTTATGATGCACCTTGAATGAGTAGTGGGAGTTAGAGGAGGGGGTGGGAAGAGTTCCAGGCCAAGGAAACAGCAGGTGCAGGACGTTGAGAATGGAAACTTGGAAGACCCTAAGACAGATAGCTGAGTCCTGGTGTGATGCTGCAGGTTAATGCGCTGGGCCTCAAGGTCAGTTTAACCTGCAAGGTCGGTGGTTCAAACCCACCAGCCAGCCGCTCCTCGGAAACCCTATGTTGTTGCTGTGAGGTGCTGTTGAGTCGGTTCCGACCCATAGCGACCTTGGATAGGGTTTCCAAGGAGCGGCCGGTAAGCTTAAACCGCTAACCTTGTGGTTCAAGCTGATTTTGCAGTCCAGCGCATTAACCCACAGTGCCATACAGGACTCCCGGAAAACCTATACAGGGTCACTGTGAGTCGGAACCGACTAGACAGCATTTAACAACAAGACAGTTGAGGCACAACTCGAGCGTAGGGTTGTGGAAGGTCCGCAAGGTTGGGAAGCAGCTGCGCAAAGCTGGGGTGTCTGAACTTTAGTCAACCGGCACCGAGGAGCTGTTTCCCGTGCAGCACTATTATTAAGTTATTTCCGGGCTTATTGTGCATAATGCCTGTCACGACGCCGACGCCCTGTCTCCCCAGCTACACTAGGAATGAGAGGCGGGTGGGAGCGCGCGGAGACACAGCCAGAGGCCCCACCCTCTGCCGCCAGCGTACCCGGGTTCTTGGGTTCCTCCTCGCCCACCGGCTGCAAGTTGGCCACGGGCTTCTCCTTAGTCCCGCGTTCCCCCTTCTTGGTCACTGCGCCATATATCTTCTGGGTCCCGGGACGTGGGGCCCTAGGCGAGGCCCCTGGCCCACTGGTCTCGCCAGACATGCCGGTGCCGTCCGCAGTGACTCCCGGGACTCTCGTGGGGGCAGGTAGTCAAGATAAACCTCTGTGGACTCGTTTCCGGAATGGTTATATACCGAGTCCGTGTTCGGCTACCACAGACAAGTCCCACCTGCCGCGGATCCTCCTCCGCGTCCCTCTCCAAGGCAACCGCGCGGGGTGGGAGGGCCCGGAGGGAAAGGGCGCCTCAGAGCGCATGCGGGGCCGGCAGGGGGCGCCGCAGGGTCAAAGGGAGAGGTTGGAAGAGCCCCAGCATCGGAAGCACTGGGCGTGGGCGGAGGGTGGTTAGGTTGAAGGGGAAGGCAAGACCCGGGTGGTAGGAGCAGGACTAGGGCCGCCTTACTTTCCAACCTGACCTTTCTAAAGCAAAGTTGGCGGACCCGAATACCAAAAGGATCTGGGGCGGGACCAGAGAGGAGGGGGCGGGGATAGGCCCTTAGGTCAAAACCTGGGCGGGGCCACGGTGAGGGTAAACAGTGGGGCGGGCGGCGAGAGAGTGAAGAGCCAGGATTCGGTGGGTGCGGAGCAATACAAATATAACAATTGTTTGGGTGCCTCCTGACAAGGCAGTGTTTCGTTCTGTTGTGTATAGGGTCACTATGAGTTGGAACCTCCTGGCTGTCTGGGGACTCAGTTAAACTATTATTGAATTGATGAGGTGGGGTATGCTCCCTACAAATGCTGCATTCAAAGTCCTCAAGTAGTGTAGATCCTGTTGCTCTAATTTGAGCATGTCCGTTTCAATTCACTTTCCCGCCTCCAGCTTCCACACTCCCCAACAAACACACACACTATCACCACCACCCCACCACCCCATCCAGCTCCACCCTAACTCTGCCCCTAGCACTTGCCCACATGTGAGCCTTTATGCTGGTCCTCAGTAAAAATGCCACAATTGGGGGAAGCCACCAAGCTATGCGGTATGTTTGCTCTGTGCTTTCAGCACACACGATTTGCTCTTCTAAGACACAGACCACAGTGTCACCAGTACTTTAAATTTACTCAGCTGCTCAGTCTTTTCGGGAATATTTATTGAGTGCCTACTCTGTAGCCAGGGTAACAGATGTTAAGCATAAACACAAGATTCCTGCTTTAGGGGGAACCTACAATCTAGTGAGGGAGGCATCATATAATCACATAAATGATATACATGCAGTGGTGTCCAGCACTCTGCAGGTCTTTTCTGGGTATCTGGTGAATGGATACAATGGAACTAGTGCTATGAAAGTGGAGAGGGGTGGGGAGCACGCTTCCCTAAGGAGGAGATGGGTAGGCTATGTAGGAGTCAACTGGTGAATGGGGAAGGAAGAGCATTCCAGATGTGCCAAGTCCCTGTGGTCAGAAGTGTGGGGAGTAAGAGGACCTAGAGGCCAGTGTGACTGGAATTGGAGGGGGAAAGGGAGCACAGTTCAAGGTGAGGCTGAAGTGGCAGATAGCCAGAGCATCATGGCCTTCCTAAAGGCTGTTTGTAAGTTTCTACTCTGACCCACAGTAATGACACCAATGAAGACTTTCAGGTGGGGTGTAACTGAACTGATTTGTATTTTTGAACAGCTGATAGAGGTAAAACTAAGTGGATGCAGGGAGCTCAGTTAAGAGGCTCTTGCAAGAATTAACTGGGTTTTGACTGATTTACTGCTAAAGGGTGAGTACCTAAGACATGACCTATGCCTGGTACCCCTCTGAAGCCCCAGGCAGACAGACAGACTCCCCAGACCAGAGAATGCACAGAAAAGGTACCCAATATACATTTATGAGATCAATCAGAAATCATAGTCATCCAGCATCATTCATTCCTCCAGTTTATGTACACAGGGCCCTGAGGGCCTTGGGAAGACTGGATTGGAAAAAGGGAACACAGGCATCCTACCGAACAATGTCTCCCACACCTGAGAGCTAGGTTCCCATCCTCTCCATTCACGACTTCCATTAACTGTCCATGGCCTGCCAGTCTACTCTCTGCTCCTGGCACTGCAACACCAGGCTCTGTCCCCAGTCTTGGGCAGCAAAGGGTCTGTGCACTGATTTCTCCCATACCATCTTGTCCTTTCAACGATCTTGGCACCGAAGTGGAGGTGATGGGGGATGTCGTATTGGTGGTAAATCATAGTGTGCAGGGATATGGCTGTTCTTGGGTGAGTCATAGTGGCCTGGTGGCAGTCCTGGAGGCAAGGGAGACGGGGAGCCCAAAGAGTCTCTGTCTGGAGATAGAGAGGGAGCAGGATGAGTGGGGACAGGCTCTTCCACGTCCCACCACGCTCCTTCCCTCTCCAGCATCTTTTGCCCAAAGTGAGGTGGCTGGTACCTAGATACAGGCCAGCTCCCCATCTGGCTGTGTGGCTCTCATCAAAAGCCGCTCACTTGCTCAGTTGCCAGGAACAGAGCCCACGCTGGCCCACTTCATAGGATGTGAGGTCACTTTGTGATTTACCTGTCACTTTCCTAGGTACCAACACTAGTTCAGGCACTGTACAGCATGTTTCAAATCCAACCCATTTCAAATGCTTAGCCCTGTAAGGTAAGTCCCACCACTCCATTTTACAGATGAGGAAACTGGCTCTAAGAGGCAACATGACTTCCCCAACACATGTCAGGTTGGAACCCAAGTTGGACCCCAAAGCTGCCACACCATGCTGCTTCATATTCCCTCATGCCATCTCTCTTTCTACTGCCCTTGTCCCTGTTCTCTACCACACCCAGCAGAGAAGGAAGCTCACCATGGGTCAGGGGGCTGGGTTGCTCATATGTGCCACTGTCTCTTTGTGGCTGGGGGTGTTGCCGCCTCTGGCTGTCCCGGAGTTGAGGCAGCCTGGGAGGAGAGCCTGAGGGGGGGCCTTTCATTTCCACATAGCTACTCTCTCGGAGACCGCCTGGCAGGCTGGGTGGATCCCGGATGGTGGCATAGGGGTTCTCGCTGCTCAGGGAAGCCACACTGGCCCCCAGCCCCTCCTCAGAGATGGGCCCTAAGGATGGGGAGAAGGAAGCAGGCTCAGTGATGCACCAGCTAAACCCTTGCTTAGTCCCCTCCCTCAGTTCCCTCTGTCCCCATACCTTTACTATAGAACTGACTGAGCCCACTACTGTCTCTGTAACGGTAACTGTAGCTTCGTTCCAGGTGGCTGCTACCTGAGAAGGAGATGGCAATTCACAATCAGGCATTGGTCCCCTCTCCAGGCTCCTACCTCTTCTAGAACCAGGCTGCGGGGCTACACACATCACTCACTAGAACCTAGCCTCTGGGCACCTACCCCTGTCCAGAGGCCCTGGTGGGGGCTCCCGACGGTGCTTCCAGTCAGCAGGCAGGGTGGCATGGTTATCATGCCCGTGGGCTGAACTTGGCCGCTCAGGGGCCTGGAGACTGGCAAAGAGCTGACTGCCTGGAACCTAGTAGGAGAGGGGCACCACAGGGAGAGTATCAGGCCAGGATAGAGCTTTCCATAAAGCCAGCTCTGTGCCTGTCCCTCTGCCGGTGTATCCCCTTCCCCAGCACTGACCTTGTTCGGGGGTGGAGGGTTAGGTGAGCACTGGGACAGTGTATGGTAACTGGGATTGGAATAGTAGTGACTGTAGCTTGGAGGGACATCTGCAGGAATGACAGGGACAGGGTCAGCTCTGGCAGGCCAGGGAACTGAGAGGCCTTGCTGACCTTCCTCCCCACAACTTCCCCACTTCTTATACCCTGGGTCCACAAAGGGACCCAAGACCCCCACATCCCATCCTGCCCCTGTGCCTATGAGCCAGCAACTGATTTGTGCCCCACACCCTTAAGGTGGCTCACCTGGCATGACGTATTCAGAGCCATCCAGTCGCCCGCTGCTGTAGGCCACTGCCAGGTGTTGGTGTTCCTTGCCTTTTTGCCAATGGCGGTAGCCAATAAACAGTGCCACTAATGCCACCACCAGGGACCCCAGCACTGCAATGCCAATCACTGCCCCCAGCGAGTTATAGGTCACTGGAGAGGTGGGCATCATCATGGTGAAGGGCTCCTGGCTTCCTGTGTGATATGGGCAGTTACTCAGGGCTGCATCTTGTCTCTGTTGGTGAGCGTCGGGCACATGCATGGGAGAGGCCCCCAGTGGGGAAGTAGGAATGATATGAGGGACCCAGGTCCTGGTAGAAACCGGGGGAGGGACCTGGTGTCCTGGCTCCCAGGGAATAATAGGGGCTAGATGAGAACTCACCGATCCTGCAGGGGGCCCCACTGTGCCCTGGGGGACACACACAGGCCCCGGTCTCTGGGTGGCACCTCTCTCCAGGTCCACACTGGCACGGCTGGGAGCAGTTGGTACCGTACATCCCTGAAGGGCAGCCTAAGGAGGGAGCCAAGTGGAGGTGGGGATGAGGGGGACCAAGAAACTACAGTTTTCTCTTTGGACAGGGCTAACTTGGGGGCAAGGACATGGAGTTCCCCTGATATTGGTACCTTCCAGGCAGAAGTGTCCAGTCCAGCCTGGGGGGCACATACAGCTCCCATCCTGGGGGTGGCAGGTCCCACCATGGCGACACTGGCAGGACTGGGCGCAATTGGCTCCCCAGTGCCCTGAGGGGCATGCTGCAAGAGACAAGGAGTTTGTGGGCAGGGCCAGCCCCTCCTGGATGAACTCTTGGCCCCACCTATCACTGAAGTCTTCAGCTCAGTATTAATCTCCCCAGGAACACCAGGACTGTAAATAAGACCTATGCACCGAAGACTCATAAGATCTCCAACCCAGTCTTCTCCCCTAACTCCAGACTCATGTGCCCAACTGCCAAATTCACATTGCACTTGGCTTCCAATAATCCACCACTGCCATTGAGTTGATTTTTTTTTTTTTTAAGGTTTTTATTGTGGATTGAGTGAAAGTTTACAGAGCGTATCATCAGTTTTACATTCAACAAATCATATACCTTGTTTCATTACATTGATTATAATCCCCTCCATGTACCATCAGTTAACAGTATTTCTCTCTAACCACTTTAGCTTTTTAAAAAGCAAACAAACAAAAAAACCCACTCAGGCATATATAATAATTTACATCTCCAA